GCAACATCCAAAAGAATCCATTGTCCCATTCGTCTTGAATGAAGAGGATGAGCTTCTTTGTGATAGATTCTCCTCATCTTCCTCATCCCTCACATGCACATCACTCAGTAACAAATTCAATCTAGTATCCTTGTCATCCTTTTTTTTATTTGCTTCATTTAACATTGCACAAATTCTATTCTTCACATCCTCGGGAACCTTGTCACACGGCTTACACTGTCCTCTTTTTCCCACCAAATGAGCTTTTAACCAGCTTATGCCACAACTAAAAGCATGCAAGCGATACTTACACCGCACCTTTTCGGTGTCGGAACCAACCCTTTCTCCATATTGCCAACGAGGATCTTTACCACTCCTTTTTTTGGAGGAGCACTAAATCCTTGACCTTCAGATGCCATCTTCTTACTATCACCTTCACATTCAACAAACATGAATTTTAGTTTTTTAGATAAGCAAACTATACCAATGAGATAACAAAAAATTTCTAATTTGAGGAAGAAAACAACTAAAATGTCATAAATTTGATAATTGGTTATTCAATTTCAATCTTAATCTTAGTTTAAGAACTTCAAATTTGAGTCCATAATTGAATTTCAGTCCACAAAATCGACAAAAATTTCAAAATTTTCATTAATTTCAGCCAATTAATACATACCACATCCAACAAAATTAAATTCGAAATTCACATTCAACAAACATATAACTCAATTTAAATTTCAGTCCTTGCATTCAATTTCAATCGAAATATTCAATTAAAATACAAAAAATAAATTCTCAAAATTAAATAAAACCAGTCACTGTATTCAAGTTACCTTCATCCTTAGAGATTTTTCATCTTTCTTCACCTTCTTCTTTCTTGATGTTTTGATAAAAAACCTAAAATAAAGAGTTTAGAAAAATTAGGGTTTGGGAAAATTAGGGTTTAGAAGAAAGAGATAGGAGAAAGAAATTGAAAAGAGAGGAGAGATAAAGAGAGTGAAAATAAATGAAGGAAGAGATAGAGACATACCATTGATTGGGTTTTTGAGGGACCACAATAGAGCTTCGAGAGAGAGCTTTGAGAGGGGGAGGAGGCCGCAATAAAGCTTGAGAGTTTTGAGACACGGAGAGAGAGAGAGGGCCATCGATAGGAGATACCGATAGAAAGAGAGTGACAGAAACTAGAGAGAATGAAGGGGATTTGGGCATGAGGTTTCGAGATGGGGTTTTAGTTTTTAGACTTGGTGGGTTCGGGTTGGGTTTGGGAACCCAAACAACCCAAACTCAAAAAAAAAGAACCGATTAATATTTACAACCTGACATAGCGGCGGATATATCCGGTATATCGTAGAAAACCCCAAAAATTGAAGATGACATATTTTCATCAATATCATTGCGAAATCATGTCAAACCCGATATATCGGCCGAAATATCGATATTGCGGTCGGTATTTAATACACTTGTAGTGAGAGAAAGAACAAGAATTGTAGATCGTTGTAATGAAGGACAGAAGGAGTCTCATCACTAAAACTTTCCCACCTATAAGCTATAAATTTTGGAGATCAAAATCAGTATAATACAACACTATTATTGTAGAATTAAATTTTAAATTCAAAATGAAAATTGCATATATTAATACCTGAACTATGAAAAGCAGCAGTTCTTGCTATCTCAAATCCAAACTCTCCTAACCTCTCATTATAAGCATCTAGCTCATAGTCGGTTTGTGCTCTCTTAGCAATATCATGGATCATGCGAGCCATGTGCTCGATAAATCTTTTCCTCACCTTTGGGTGTTTGCTAAACTTATTCCCATAGAAGTATTTGGGATTAAGATAGTAAGCAGCAGCATGAATTGGGCGATGCAACATTCCCTTCTACCTCTCGTCAATTAGTTTCCGATAGGGCATGTATTTTCTTTCCATTCCATCACATGCATTTGTAATTTTCTCATTTGTATTATCCATCATCTCATAAAGTAATGGCATGGAGGGCCTAACATCGGAATCCACCTCTAGGACATACACAAGTGGAAGTGTCGTGGTGAAGCAAAACATCACTCGTCTCCAAAATGGTTTGGAGTAAAGAACTGTGATACTCACCTTCTTCGCCCAAGTGCTTCAGAGAAACTCTTTAGCAGAGAACATATTCTTGAAAGGCTGTTTTAAGGAATACAACCTCTGTAATGTCAGAAAGGATGTGGCGGAGCGAGTAGCAGCAGGTCTCAGTAGTTCCTTCCCACCTATGTACTTCCTCAACAGACTCAATACCCAACAGTGATTGTAGATAAATTGAATAACTCATTTCACCGCCTCAATAGTCTCTTGGGGTATCTTCATCTTCCCTATGTCCTCTAACATAAGTTCAATGCAATAAGCTGCACAAGGTGTCTAGTAAAGAGACTTCCTTGCATCCATAAGCTTCGTCCCAGCAAGCATATAAAAGGCGTGATTATCAGTGATAACTTGTAAGATGTGTTGCTCGCGAATCATCTCCACAATTTTGTCAATACATTGAAAAAGAAAATCCCCATTCTTTATATGAGCTGAGGCATCAACAGACTTGTAGAAGAAAGTCCCCTTCGGCGAGTTATCATGAAAATTGATTAAACTTCTATTCTTCTTGTCCGACTATCCATCAGAGATAATGGTGCACCTATATTTTTCCCACGCCGCTTTGTGCTTTGCCTTAATGGAATCAATTCCCTCCACCTCTTTTTTTAGCACTCAGGTCCTTATCTCATAAGGAGAGTGTTGCATAAGCCCAGAACTGAACTTCCTAATCGCATCTACCATCTCTCTCCAATATGCACTGCTCAAGAGATTGAACGAGAGCCTATTAGCCAAAATGCATCTCCCGATCTTTTTGCACTACCTCTTCTCTTTGTTCTATTTTGTATCTGTTCTCCATTGTGGTTTGACATCCTTGCACATTGACAAAGGTGTCTAACGGTCTAAATGACCTAGTTTGTGGGGCATTGCTTCCATGTTCACTCTCCAACTCTTGACTTGCAACTTCTCCAATTTGTGAATGTGAATCTTCCATGCTCCCAATAGAGTGAACCAATATGGTTTTTTGGCTTCCATTTCCTTCAAAGCCCCTGCACATTGTCTTTTAACCAATCTAGAACATGGTCACATTTTCTTACTCCTTTACGAGTTCCCACCAAGTGATGCCTCAGTCTTGTTACTCACGCTGTGATGTGATGGTTGCAAAATTTGCAATAAAGAGAGTGATTAGGTTCCCCCTCTTTTCAAACTCCATGCTCTCTAACTGGATCAACATTCTTAGACATGACTGGATTCTGCA